GTTTTCTTTAGTCCAATCTTTTAGTCTGAGCTCTTATTCTTGCATGTAATTTATATCTATTTGTCTTGTACAAGTTAAGTTTTTATTATAATCACCTAAATAAATTACCAAATAAAGATATAAGCAAGATCTCATCTTAATAACAAAAAAAAAAAAAAGTAAATTCAAATTCATCATATGTTAGAACATTTTGAAGTATACAGCATCTTAATGAACGAATAAAATATAAATAAGTTATACTATTTAATAAATCTTCAAAATCGATTGTTTCATCATTACTCATTAATATTTCTTGTTCAAAGTTAGATAATGGTGAGGGTGGTAAACGTCACATCTAAATAAAATATCAATATTATTAATGTAGCTGGTAATACAATAAATAAGATCTGCAAGTAAAAGTGATGCCTAAAATAGTGATTAAAAAATTACTATTCTAGATGTTCACTTGGCACCACTTATATGTTAACTCACTTTAAATACAATACTTCGCTCCATAATATATCTTAGTAGGAAATGAATATCGTAGACAATTCTTTGCATAGTAAGTTTCTGATTTATTTCATCTCACTATTGTAAAAGCATAAAAATTAAATGTTAATTTACACTTATTAAAAACTTTAACCCAAAACTTTCAAACCCGGCTGAGCATATTTTTGAGGAAGCGAATAAGTAAAACCTTATCCTTTAAAAATCTAAGTCTATATTGATAATAGTCAAAAGCATCTTCAGAGTTTATGCTATCTACTATGATGTTTGAGAGAACAATATGTAGAGTCTTAGCTTTCTATAAACATAGCATAGTTAGTTTCATTTAAAAATGAACTATAAAATAAAATCAGATCCCAAATAAAACCTTTATTCTATTATTATAATAAGATTTGTCGTGGATTAGTCTTTTAAGTTATTTAAAAAAACACTCAGATAAAACATTAAGAATCATTTGAATTTTACAATAGTACGTATATAAAATTAATTGGTCTCAGTAATGATATACTGTAACGGCACCTCTTGCATAAAATAAAATTATGAATAAAAATGGGTTGATATTTAAATAGTTAATATACATACAGTATAAAGTATTCTAGAATAGATATAAAAAATTAAGTTACTAAAATGCTAAGTATAAATTTATATACAATTATAACCTACTTATCTAAAGTTTGCTTGTATAATAAAACTGCTTGCAATTAAGATAATTAATCAATTAAAAGAAAAATATATATATATATAAAAAAAAAAAAAACTAAAGTTTCCTCCTTTGCATATAATGATCCATATTAACTGCCTTCAGAACTATAATTATTCGTTATTGAAAAATAAATCCAGACTTGTTTGCTTTTTTTTGTTGTACAATTAAGCTTGAAATTCGTTTTTTAAGTGAGTTTATAACTTTTGAATCTTTATTTTCAATACACAAATTTTCTGGTGGATTAGCTACAAACAATCTAATATTTTTCAAGCTTTCTATTGCCATTTTAAGTAAGATTTGAATTGGGGGTTCACTCTCATCATCTTCATCATTTTCCTAAAGTGCAGCTATGATTTCTTGATTTGATGGAATTTCAGTTGTAGGTAATTCATTATTGATCTTTATATATTCTAATGCTAATAAATATCATTAGCATTAATAGAAAGCTGTTTAATTAAATAATGAATATCTAATTGATCATTATAATATTCATCATAGTTAGGGATGTTACAGTTCGTCCGGTCCGGTCTTGGTCCTAAAAGACCAGTCCGAGTAGCGGACTGTGAACCGGACTATAATCAGTAGACCGGTCCATTAAACAGTTCGGTCCAAGACTGGTTTTCGGACCAGTTTTTTTTAGCCAATAGAAATTCGGAATTTCAACGGAAAAATGTACGTATGTATATTATTACTTTACACTTTTGAATAACTTACACTAACAATAACCTACTCACACTAACGCTAATATAATACTGTATTTTCTAATGGTACAATATAGTACGTTTAATAAAACTTTATTATAAAATTGTTTTTTGGATTAAAGAATTTAAAAAATTCAAGCCAGATCAATGTTTTTGGTGAATTTTATAGATTCAAAGCTATTTCTAAGATATTTTATATATTGTATTAATGTTTTTAGTGAATTTTATAGATTTAAAGCTACTTATAAGATATTTTATATGTTAATATTCCTTATAAGCTAAGCAAGACGTATATAATAATATTACTTTAAAGCTAAGGGAACAAGTTTTTTTTTTTTTTTTTTTTTAATTTTCACCTACTCTATTACAAATCCAGCTTTTAACACACAAACATGCTCTTGCTGTTTCAGGATGAAGGCGGTTACGAGTTCTTGAAATAGTATTACCGGCTATCGAAAATATCTGTTCACATGCTACGCTAGTAGCTTGAATACTAAGATAGTCAGCCGCCATTTTTGATAGAGTTGGATAAGCTTTCTTGTTCGCTTTCCACCAATCCAGTGGGTTTGTATCTTCTTCTACAGTATCAAATGTAAGATAATTATCTAATTCATTTAATTCATTAGCATCCATTGCTAATGATTCTGTGTTGCTAGGAATTAAAAATTCTTCTGTTTCTGAATTATTGTGCAAGTTCCAAAAAAATTTTCTTGCAGTTTTGGTTGGACTTTCTGGAACATTGTTAGAGGCTGGTAAAACTTGTTTATCTTCGTGAGCATATTGATTCATAGCTTCTTGAATGACTTTTTTAGCATTAACAACATCTGCTTTGTCAAATATCTTTAATTTAGTATGTGGGTCAAGGATGGCGGAGATGGTAGAGAACTTATCCATTATACACCAATATTCCTCTATTTTTGGTTTATTGATGCTGCAACACTGCTTTAAAAAAATTCATCTTTATCAATGCATGCATTCAAATGGTCCTGAATACTCAAAAATACTAAACGTATATCGCCCATGGTCGGATATGATGCAGCCGAAAGCAATTTTGTGGCAGTTTCTAGTGGTTCTAGTAAGGCAAGTATATCCTAAAAATTAAATTAAATATTTATTCTATTAATTTATTATGTATTTTTATTTAAATTATTGTAAATTTTATACCAAATTTAAATGTATTGTCATGGCTGAAGCTGGAAATTAGGGACCTTGATTTAAAAATATAAACTCTACCAAAATCCACTTATACTCTTTTATTATTAAAACTATATCTAAACTCTAATTTAACTCTAAAAAAAAACCCCTAACAAAAGGCCCAAAAAATTTTTGAAAATTTCATATTAAAATAATTAGAATTTCCAGTATTAGCCATTTCCAGCTTCAGCCGCGACATGTATTATTAATACCAGTTATTTCAAAAGTTTTAAAACATGGTCTTTTTTTTAAAGTAACCTTATACATAGAGATTATGATGATTAATCATCGTGATCTCTATGTATAAGATTACTTAAAAAAAGACTATGTTTTGCGAAACACCCAGTATAATAAAATAAAGAATTTTTTCATTATATTTGCTTGAATATGGTATATAAATTCGTATAATAATAATTTATACTTTTAAATTGTGTTGCTCATTATTATTTGGATATAGTAAATGAATAGATGAATGATCAGCAGCAAGTAGATTAAGGGCCATTTCCATTTTTTGCAATATATAGTAAGTACTGTTCCATCTGGTCTCAATATCCAACTCAGGCTTAAGATATGGAATTTTTTTAAGCTCACACAACCTGTGCAGGTCATCACAGAGGCGAATAGATACTTTGATTTTAGCTATTAGATTTCAAACTTTATCTACTGATGAATCAACCATTTCTAATCCTTTTTTTGCAGCTAGGTTAAGAACATGGGTGGCATATCTATAATGTAAAAATCCGATATTATCAAATTCATTTTGCAGCTCCTGTGCAATTACTCTTCCACAAACAACCATTGCAGCTTCATTATCTGTAGTAAATGCTAGCGTTTTATCTTTGATGTTAAAATAAGTAAGGATATTTTTAATGGTATCTGCTATATTTATACTCATATGCCTATTATTAAATGAGATAATATCTAAGAGAAAATGACACAAATTCTAATTAGTATCTATGTAATAAATGGTAATATCAAGAAATGCTTCAAAATTTAAAGAGGTCTACATATCAGCTGTCAAAGAAATCTTTCTAGGAATTTTAGCAATATTGTTAACTATTCTATTACATTTATTTTCAAATTCATTCATAATTTTCAATTTTATGGCTTGTCTTGTAGGTATTGTATATCGAGGGTCAATGAGGTCAATAAATTCCTGAAGAGCAAAAAAATGTAATTGGTTAGCTAATTAAAAATTTATACTAATCGATTAATCAATTAGTTAATTAATCAATTAATTAATTGATTGATTGATTAATCAATTAGTTGATTAATCGATTAATCAATTAATTGATTAATTGATTAATTATTTAGTTGTTTAGTTGATGAATAAATATTTAGTCAAAAGTATTGATCGATTTTCGATTCATATTACTACCTAAAAATACTGATTATCCACAATAGTAAATGGCTGTTGATCAACTATTATCCAGGTAATTAGTTTTTCATCATGTTTTTTTTGTTCTTCATCATTATACGGATCAGTTCTGGGAAAGCAAAGAATAGTTTGATGTTTAGCTAGTACAACTATGTTATGTCCTTTAAGATGTCTTCGCAAAGTTGAAACTCTGGTTTTATTTGAAAAAACATACTACATTTTTTACACACAGGTTTTCCAGGATTATCGGGCATATCAAAATTGAAATAAGGCCAAATTGAGCTTTTTCTGACCCGTTTTTGACTACTACTTTGAGATGGTGAGCTAATAGAATTAGCATTAGTTTTGTGAAACATTTGGCTATTAATATCTGAGATGTTATCTTCAAACATTTCATAGATATCATTTTTAGGATCATAGGTATCGGTTTCAGAATCATAGGTATCGTTTTCAGGATCAAAAAAACAATCGTGAGGTTCGAAGAAATTATTATCTTCTATTTTTTTATTTTTTTGTTTTTTTTTATTTTTTTTTCTACAATCAAAAAGCGAAGCTTTATATATATACAATCTATTGTTGGAGGTGGCTCTACGATAAGTATTTTTATTTTATTTTATTTTATCATGATGAGTATTTTTATTTTTATTTGTTTATTTTATTTCAGATGCCAACTATAAGATTATTAATCACTTTTCATTTAGATTCTTGATTACAAAATAACGCCTATCTATGCGTGATTCAGAATTTGATATATGTTAGAAACCAAAAAAAAAAATTTACAGAGAAATCTCTCTAAATACATCCTATAGAACTAAGCTTTTGACAACGTGCATCTAAAGAACAATAAGAAAAATGCATTTATAAAGGTTAAGTATATTCGGGCCAGAATTTGAAAATGCATTTGAGAAGGTGCACTTGTGGAAGTTACTCTGTATTTAATAATTTCTTTGTTAGAAATCAGCTGCAATTAACTTTGTTCTAAATTCCTTTTAATGTTTTGCATATTTTTCATTATAATAAGTTTTACTCATGCTGTCTTATTTTATATTCTTGAGTCTTCGATACTAGATATCTCTGATAGACGTAGTCTTATTGCATTAGTCTGTTCTCTTTTAGTATCTAGAGATAGGCCAAATACATATTTTTTGAAAGGATATACGAATTTGTGTGGTGTGCACGTGATTCACCGAGCCAAATTTATAATAATATTGTTCTACCAGCCGACATATGTGTGGAATCATCGGATTTGATATCATTGATAGGAAAATATACATTTTCAGGATCACACACATAAATGCATATGTATGAACGTGCATTAGCCTATTTCTAATTAGGAGTGGGATAGCGAAGTTATGTAGAGTCATATCTGTTTTAAATAAATTAGCTAAAAAAGCCGCTTGTAATTCCATCTTAATATATAAGTTGATGTGTATTGGACTTTTAGATTAATTTTATTATTGCTATTTATTTTTTTTCTACTATTTTATTTAAATTACAAACATATTATTTATATGCTTATACATATTATACAAGAACGTGAGTATGTTGTGTATATGGGCATAAATTTGAAATTGAACTGAAATTTGATTTGAATTGCGTTAGGTCAAATTTATCTATTATGCTTAGAATAGGAATTTTTACATACATACACACGTACATGCTCTTTGATTTGGTAATTTGTTATCATTATACGTAGAGGTCATCTTTGTGGTATAGGTCTACAATTCTTTGTAATACTTGATGTCCTGTCATTTTTTATTTATGTTTGTTAAATTTGCAATGGTTGAGAGGTTTATGAAGAAAAGAATGACGCATAAATGGTCTGACGCACAAATTTTAATTTTGTGCGACTTAATTTTAAGAGTATAAATTAGTCAAGGACCGGACCGGACCCGGTCCCAAATTTTAGACCGAGGACTGCTTGAACCGGTTCAAAAAACCGGTCCGGACCACAGTCCTAGTAGGACCTAAATTTACCAGCTAGGGAATATGTACTGTATAACCCTAACCTT